ATCTAATATTGTGAAAAATTCTAGTTTTGACAGTAATGATGTACATCATTGTATATATAATCCGTCAGTGATCCTGTAAATCTACAGAAGTGTTTCAGAGATCTTTATAAACTCCTCCTGTGACCCAGCAGACACTACACTGATGGTAACCTAATAAACTCTGAGTCTACATGAGCAACAGGTTTGGGGATTTTCAAAGCTCCGCTCTCACATGACCTGCTGCGAACACACACTCTGTTTGTCTTAGTGTACAGGTTTGTTTGGCATTGGAGACACATGGCGAACAGCAAACACCAGATCCTGTCTGTTGTTATAACCGTCAGCTTCTGGAGAAACACTCACACATCACATCAGGCTGCTTTTAGAAGCTTTTGTGGACAAACACCAACTGCGAATTACACAACATGCATGTGGAAAAGTGTGGACACCCTATATTAAACTTCATGGTTTTCCATATCAGGACATAATAAATAAAACTCTACGGTCGTTGCACTGCAAAAAATAGCTTTTTGTCTAGTTTCTTGTCCAAATTTGTCAATATTCTTAAATCACGAAGCATTTTCTAGACAAGCAAAAAATATTGTCTTGTTTTCAGAAATAACTAAGAGTTTAAGGAAGTCAAAATCTAACATCCTAAATGTTTATACTCTAAAATGCTGGGTTATTGCAATGCAATGTTGGGGAAAATATCCACAAACAAAAAGTGTTAATTTATTTTAATTGAAAACAAACAAGCATAAAAAGTGGTGTTTGTGAAGAGGTTAAATTGACCCTACACTCTAGAAGTTTCTGGGTTGTTATAACCCAATGTTGGGTCAAACAAGGAAAAAATAAAATGGTTTAAAATATAATTTAAATGTAACTGATGTTGACCTAAAACAACTCTGTTTGTTGAGGTGAACACCACTTTTTGAGGTGTCCTAACTTTTTCCATATGAATGTAAAAGTGTTTAAAACACACTAAAGTAAGCGTTTGTATCTACTTCCAGCTTAAAAGTATTTTTAATATAATACTCATATTGTGTATTTAACAGATGCCTATGCACACACATAGATTTAAACAGAAAGAAACTAAGCGAAATCTTTCATGATCATTTATCAGTTTTCATGCATTCATTTTCCTTTGGCCCACACACACTACAGCCAATTTATTTAATCCAATTCCCCTATAGCGCAAGTACTGTGGAGGAAACCGGAGCACCCGTAGAAAACCCACACCAACATGGGGAGAACATGCAAACTCCACACAAAATAGCTGTGACCTTCTTGCTGTGAGGTGACAGTACTGAACACTTAGCCACCGTGTCGCCCCGTTTATCAGTTTTGTACTGCAAACTTGTCACCGTTTGATATTCAACCTTTTATATTAAATAGGTTGTCATTGAGAAACATGTCTATTGAAATACCAATGAGAGTTCCACTCATACATTAAAAAGTTAAATAAACTTAATAAATGAGATGTAATTCCATTGCATCCATGACTTTGGTTCACTGAAGTATGCATAACACATCATGTATTAAAAAATAGCTGACCTGAAAATAATGACTTGCAATGGTAAAACACAAAAACTGTCTGTTTGGGGTTTTAATTGAGATATAATGTGAGCATTTCATTTCTCTTCATCACACAGTGTCAGGCCTTTTAAAGTGATTGATTATTTAACCCACATTCAGTCTGACTACTGAGATGAACAAATATCTGTTATACAGTATGTGTCTGGATAATTTTGTAGATTTGTAAACTGTAAATCACCAACTTTCTCCCACCCTGTGTTAATTCTGGAGCACCTGTAGTCATTTTATGACTATATGAGTTACTCTTATATGACTAAAAGGGATTGTAAAACAGCAATGCTGACCTTATTTTCTGAGCACATCCACCAGATGACGAGTTAAGATGATGAATACACTCAAACAAAGCCGAAAGTCTCATGCATTAGTCTGAAGAATGTTTTTGACTTAACATTAGCATTACATTATGACTGATTCATGCGTTTATTCACAGTTACTTACTGTTTAAACGATGCATCAAACAAGTGATGCAGTAAAGAGGGAAAGCATTATGTTTTGACTACATTAAAAGATATTTTGTTTTAATAGAACAGAAACTAGCAAATGCTTTAAGGTCCTTAAATGATGCATCATTTGTTTTTCAGAATTTGCACATATTTATTAAAACATTTTATTATAGATTTTACTGTGTATAATTTGGACTGAATTTTGTTAATAAACATCACGCTAATTGATAAACCCCAAAAGCATCAAATACTGATCACTTTTTGTAATGTTTATGTAAGAAAAATTAATTAATTGTGTCTGAAAATAACTCAATTTAGTAGTTCAGAACATTAACCTCTTAAGGCCCAAGGTGTTTTTTACATGCATTTTAATGTCACTTTGCTATTTGGGCGTATTGGAACCTAATTAGAATAAAACCTAAGTATCATCTTTTGATATGATGTACTTTTAGAAAAAAAAGGATGTCAATATATGTGGACTTGTTGTCCGGATTTACATAAAACACTTTTTCCTGACTGTTTTTAATGCATATATAACATACACATTTTTTGAACATGTTTTGACTATCAGAGAGTAAAAACATTTTTTTGCCCATTTTGGACAGTGAAAAATAATGTTTGGGACACTTTATATGCTGCAAAACAGTAGGATGCACTGTATGTCACAATTTAAAACATTCAAAGTATTTTAAAAAGTCAATTAAGAGCTCAAATGTGCAGTCCAAGCATATGGCCACTAAAGCTCTAGGAGGGTTATGTTGTTTTGTCAGATATATTTGTCAATTTTCTTAAATATAAAATGTTTTTGGAGCAATAATGAGCTTAAATTAAGCTTCATTCATCTCAATAGCCATTCTGCAGATTAGATGTTTTATTCTAAAAAATTTATTTAATTATATACGTTAGTCACAATATAAAAATATTGTTTAGAGCTTAATAACTCACTCAATCCCAATTTTCATCACAAAAGTTTGTAAATGTGTTATCTTAAAAATAAATATCTCTGAAAGATTTTTAGAAGTTGTTAAACTTGGCCTATTAGAACTAAACTTAACTAAAATAGTTAAAATTCATTTAAATCGTGAAAGTAAACATTTTTAAATCGTGGATAAAAACTTGACAGAATATTGCTGATAAACCGTGGTAGGCTAAAATGCTTTAAAAGTGTTACAGTCCAGTTTACCTGTAAATTTATATTTGTTATTATAACAAATATAGGAAATGGTACCAACAGAATCTCACCGAATCGGTCATTTGAATTTAGCAGTTAACAAAGGAGCATACGTTAGTCTTTCCGTTATATCAGGAGCAGGCCTCAGGAGTCACTACAGTACCACACACACCGCGATTACTGAGTACAGAAACACAAACTCTATATTGGTTAGAAACAGCAGATGTATAAATAAGAAAATAACAGACTTACATTTCCGTCAAAATCTTGGCGATAATTGTGTATATTTCTACTCTGTCATTGAAAACAAGTACAAACACTAGTCGCTAATCAAGAAACGAGCAGAGAACTAAAAGCCGGCCCGGATCTCTGGATTTGCGCTTCTCCCTCGCTCATAGCTCATAGCGCTCTGTAACTAATCCGCAAATCTCCGTTCCGCGTTTTTTGTTTGCTTTCGATTCTTCCGTGCGTTCAAACACAATGACAATCCGACTTTTTAAATCACTAATACATTTTTTTAAACTATACAAACTATTTGTTTATTTTATATAACTATTCTAAATACAATATAGTAAAATATTGTTTGTTATATTAAATTAAATAATTTCATATAAGAGAAAAGGACACTAAATTCGATAATCTGTCACTCTTTTTAAATATTTAGATGACAGACACAAACTGTAGCCTACTTTATAAATGCAATACAAAAACAACAACATTATATAATAGAATGAATTACAGTATTTATTTTGTGACTTTTTTGTTGGTATTTTATGTGTTTAATATGTTTGCTTTGGGTTTAAGAAATGCACATTACAAATAAATTGGATATTATTATTAGTATATTAGTATTGTTATTTTTTATTATTTAGTCTCATGTCAAAAACACTTTCTTTACTTTTTAAAATCAAATATTAATTACTGAATTAGGCTAAATTTGTTTCATGCTTTGTGTAATTAAAGGATTTTAAAAACACAAGGTGGTTTTATGCCTGTGAGTTCATTCAACCCAACATTAGGTCAATGTTTTCAGCTACATTTAAATGACACTTTCTAACCCCAATGGTGGAATATGTCCAAATGTGAATCCACACTGAGTTATGAAAACCCAGCATTTTTATTGCGTGTCCATATCAGTAAGCATTTCTCCCCAAGTTTGACATCAGCATGATTTATAAATCAATCATATATGAAAGAAAAACCTTTTAAAATACATTTAAATACTGATGTAACTCAAATGCTGAGTCAAATATGGACAAAAACAAACACTGGGTGTGAAAGTGCCGTTTAAATTGACCCAATCCAGACTATATATATATATATATATATATATATATATATATATATATAGCACTTAAAACTATTATAAATTTTAATAAAAGTCTCTCTTTCAAACTTTAAGGTTTAATAAAAAAGATCAAGATCCCATAATGCAAGTCAAAAGCAGAAATAGATGAAAAAAAAAATAAAAACATCGAGCTCAAAATATGAAAAACTGCTAATTTAAGGTTTTTGTAGTGTAATATACAACATAAACACAAACACAATATCACTTCTAGCTATTAAAAATATCAATAAAAGTCAAACTTTTCAACATCAAAAGCTTTTGGAGGACAGATCAGGATCCCATAATGCATTTCAAAAGCATAAATAAATGAGAAAGAACATGAATCACACTGAAAACGGATAATTAGCGGATATCTTTATACAGGCTACTATAGTATTTATTTACATGGGAGGCGTGTTTGTGCATGCTGTGAGGTTAAACACACATCAGTCTCTCTCCATATGAATGAATGAATGTGAATTACCTGTCAGTGTTTGGATTGTCCTCTGAGCTCTCGCTTTTCTTCTTCTTCTTCCACTTGAAGAGTCTAAAAGATCCTCCATTGCTGTCAGTCTTGGGCTCGTGCTCCGACAGATTCACTTCACTCCGAGAAAACAAGCTCTTCAGAGTCCTCCTGCTGGAGCTGCTTTTCTTCTCCATCTCCAGACTGAAGGTATGAATGCAGAGAGACCGAGAGCTGCGCTGCAAATGAACAGATGCTCAAACCGGCCCTCTTTAACTAGGGAGACACCTACTGTAGGGTTTGCATAGGTGTGCACTAGGTAGGCAGCTCTCTCTGTAACTCCACCTCTGTTGTAGTGGCATGGAAAACATTTCTGAAGACATGTTTACTTAACAGATATTCAAAATACGGATAAGTAATGTAAAATGGATAGTGTTTTTAATCATACAGTAAAGTGTATTCTACAGTGTATTCACAACTCTTTGTGAGATTTACCCACATGAAGAAATACTATAGTAATTTACAGTGTTTTTTAGCCATATACCTTAGTAATGTGCATTCTACTATAGTGTTTACAACTCTTTGTTAATTTGTGCCACAGCATAGGCTACTGTAAAATTAACTATAGTGAACTGATCAACTGCAATAAATACTGTAGCATACTGTGGTTTTTACTACATTAACCTGTGGTGTCTTGTAGTATAATATACACTATGATTGAAGTCATTTGTTTATTTTAGTGTAGTTCTTGTGTTACCAGAACAACTGTAATCACCACCACAGATCAATTACTATCGTTGTTTTGTTTCCATAGCAACAGTAGAATCACCACAACAGATCAATTACTATAGTTGTTGTTTTAGCATAGCAACTGTAGAATCAATACCGCAGATAAATTACTACAGTACTTGTGTCACCATAGCAACTGTAGAATCACCTCAACAGATCAGTTACTGTAGCTCTTGTGTTACCATAGCAACTGTTGAATCACATCAACAGATCAATTACTGTAGCTCTTGTGTTACCATAGCAACTGCACTGTAGATTCACCACGACAGATCAATTACTATAGTTGTTGTGCTACCATAGCAACTGTCCCTACCACAGATAAATTACTATAGTCATTGTGTCGCCATAGCAACTGTGGAATCACCTCAACAGATCAATTACTGTAGCTCTTGTGTTACCATAGCATCTGCACAGTAGATTCACCACAACAGATCAATTACTATAGTTGCTGTATTACCATAGCAACTGTAGAATCACTATCACAGATAAATTACTATCCTTGTGTCACCATAGCAACTGTAGAATCACCTCAACAGATCAATTACTGTAGCTCTTATGTTACCATAGCATCTGCACAGTAGATTCACCACAACAGATCAATTACTATAGTTGCCATAGCAACTGTAGAATCACTATCACAGATAAAACAGGTAAATTACTATAGTCTTTGTGTTACCGTAGCAGCTGTAGAATCACCACAACAGGTAAATTACTATAGTTTTTGTGTTACCATAGCAACTGTAGAATCACCACAACAGATCAAATCAAAGTGAGATCAAACTTATTGGTATACATTTAGTTACAAAACATACATGAAAAATATTGAAGTAATTTATATTAAATACTATAGTATTTTTAATCAATACAGAAATAATAGAGATTATTGATTAAATTGCTTAATTAATTGATGAAAAGTACTTTACTATAGTATGTTTCAACACTAGTATTTACTATAGTATTTTTTAATGTGGACTTCTTTTATTTTATTTTGCAGGTCGACTGATCATGTTATAAAGGACAGAGAAGCTTGTTTGTTAACAAAGTAAATAAATAATTTCCCCCGAGGGAAAAACGTCTAATTTACTGCACAGCCTGAATATGAGAGAATATGATTCATCATCTTATTACACCTGTTCAAATACACAGAAAGAACACACTATAAAGTGAAATTGATATAAACGGCCTGGAGGATTTTTTTTTGTTTATTTACAGACCACCTGAAAAGAATGGGCTACACACACGCACACGCACGCGCACGCGCACGCACACGCACACGCACACGCACACGAAAATAAAATTAAATTAGGATGGCGCAGTGGTTAGCGATGTCACCTCACAACAAGAAGATTGCTGTTTCGAAAATTACATAAATTTAATTAAATGAATTTAATTAAAATAAATAAAATAATAAAAAAATAAAAAAATAAAAATTGTTTATTTAAATGAAAATGTTGGGTTTGTCCATATTTGAATATACTTATTAACTAAACTAGTTTCCAGTATTTTTTCTTAAATCTCACAAATAGCTATACTTCTACTACTACTACTACTAATAATAATAATAATAACAACAATAATAATAATAATAATTATAATTATTAAGTTAATAATAATTTATTTATTTTAGAAAAATGTCTAAAATAACCAATGCTGGCATATTAATCCGGTCTGAACACAGACGCCTTTAAACACACAGAACAGAGGATAGTGTGGATTATAGAAAACTATGTTTTATTTATTTTAGTGATAACTGATCTCTTACATTAGCCTACCAAAACACAAGCTTGACTCTTCAGGTTTTATGTCGCCACACTGTCGCATTACAATGAATATTATACTCCATCTTAGTAATATTTTTAAAGTTATTTTATTGTTTTTACAATCATTTTACAGAAATTTGGGAGTTATATATTGCTAGTTATACAGTGTACAGGACACAGTTGTTTTTATTTTAATGTTTAATTTATTATAAATATAATTATAATTTATCATTTTAATATAAATTATAATTATATAATATAATTTAATATAATTTATAATTTTTGTTTATTGATGTTTTAAAGATATAAGTACTCTCTTTGGTCAATAGATGGAGCCAGAGTATACAGAACAATCACTCATATTCATAAATTATTAGGACATTTTAATTTTGGAAGTAAATAAATCTTTAAAAAATCATCTACTAAATCAAATTTAATAAAAATATGCAAAATTTTTAACCATAATTTGGGGCTGATGGCTCATATTAGCATAATTACACTAATACCCTAATTTATTTATTATAAAGCTGAAAGAATAAAACACATGCAAATACACATACAGGCCTCAGTAAATCAGGAAGTAATCAATTTAAATACAGTTTTAATATTATAGGCCTAGTACACTGCTATAGTGTTGTTTACATTACTGCAAAAAGTAAATAATGAATTAATAATGTTATCAAAATTGTATTTAGATTTAGTTTCCTAGAGATGGGTTGCAGCTGAAAGGGCCTCCGCTGCGTAAAAACTTGCTGGATAAGTTGGCGGTTCATTCCGCTGTGGCGACCCCGGATTAATAAAGGGACTAAGCTGACAAGAAAATGAATGAATGAATATTTACATTTACTGTTCTAATTACTTAGTCTGAAAGTTAAATACAGGACTCAATACTATCTAAAGAGAAGCTGAACTCCTTCCTTTACGTTTGAGTCAAGTATATGGCCTTTTAGCTTTATTAAACATTTTTAAAATTAATTATTGCTTAATTTTAAAGCTATGACATCATATTGTAATTAATTTCTTAACAATAATATCTTAATCATCTGAGGCTATTTGATAAATGCTACTTTCTTTAGTTGAAAAATATAATTATTATGAAAAATATCAGAATAACAATGTAAAAATATTATTAATAATTATATTATTAGTGACATTATTAGCACAATTATTAAGATTAATAGTTTGATTTTTGAATTGAACACACACACACAAACATTACACACACACACTTTTACTAATTAGACATTTACTTATTATTTACTTCTCATTTCTAATTAATTGTTTGCTTAACGTGTGATTATAAATGTCAGTTTCTTTAGTTAAAAATATAATTATTCAGCAAAATATATTGTATAACAAAAACCATCATTGCTCAGCTTCTCTTAACTGATTTATACAGAATTGTTTAATATATTCACAGTATTTAAGGCATGTACATAAGTAACTGTAATCAAATGACCAAATTAACAGTAATCTCTTACTTAACTTATTTGAGCTGATCAGAGATTTTATTACAGTAACTGCTTTAACTGTATTTACACAAACACTGCATATAATAAAAGCCCATTGTTATAAAAGCGGGGCTATACGGTGGAGCAGAGCGTAGCACAACTGCCTCACATCAAGAAGGTCGCTGGTTCAAGCCCAGGCTTTATCAGTTGGCATTTCTGTGTGGAGTTTGCATGTTCTCTCAGTGTTGGCGTGGGTTTCCTCCGGGTGCTCCGGTTTCCCCCACAGTCAAAACATATGTGGTACACTGTAGGTGAATTGTAAAATTGTCCGTAGAGCATGAAGCAGGTCGCACACCAGAAGCGCCGCTCGGCGCCGCGACACGGCGCGTACATGACAGATTAAAGTATCGCACACCAGACGCGCACATTCGAATGATATTTAACATGAAACTAATCAGATGGCGCTCTGTGGCGCGGCTGAAAAATGAACTGCGTCCTGAGCCGTCGCCGGGCGCCGCCGACAGCCGCCGACTTGCGGCGCCGGTGTGTGTATCCTGATAGAAACCTATGTTTAGAATTCTAAAATACATGGCGCTGCGCGGCGCGCCGCCGAGCGTCGCTTCTGGTGTGCGACCTGCTTGAGTGTGTGTGAGTGTGTGTGTGTGTGTGGATGTTTCCTAGTGTTGGGTTGCAGCTGGAAGGGCATACGCTGCGTTAAACATATGCTGGATAAGTTGTCGGTTCATTCTGTTGTGGCAACCCCACCGAAAAGAAAATGATTGAATGAATATTATGGAAGCAAAGGTAAAGTGTGATGAGAGTCTGTGAGCAGCAGAGGGCGATAAACCACCGCAAACCAGGAGGAGAAAATCATTCATCCATTCATTTTCTTGTCAGCTTAGTCTCTTTATTAATCAGGGGTCGCCACAGCGGAATGAACCGCCAACTTATCCAGCAAGTTTTTACACAGCGGATGCCCTTCCAGCCCAACCCATCTCTGGGAAACATCCACACACACACACACACACTAATACACTACGGACAATTTAGCCTACCCAATTCACCTGTACCGCATGTCTTTGGACTGTGGGGGAAACCGGAGCACCCGGAGGAAAGGCAGGGAGAACATGCAAACTCCACACAGAAATGCCAACTTAGCCAAGGTTCCAACCAGTGACCTTCTTGCTGTGAGGCGACAGCACTACCTACTGCGCCACTGCCTCGCCCGGAGTAAAAAATATACTAATAAAA